TAGATGAAATTTGTCAGATTATACAGTACATATTATTCCTCAGAGAATTTTCTTGTAAGAATCCTTGCATTTGGAAGGTACAGCTACCTCAAAATAGTAACAAATGAGTGATTCAGCATTGTGAGTGTAGTGACCTTCAGTAAACACAGGGAGCTAAATCTGTCCAGGGCATACTATGAACAGATGCCTGAAAGTGTTTAAAGTGTGTGGCCGTATGTGTGTGTGTGTGTGTGTGTGTGTGAATACAGTAAGGACTCTCTATGCTAACATAAACCCTTCTGTCCTCAATTCACACACTGCGGTACTGGCATCCACTCCTTTGGCAGATGTGTTCCTCCCTGAAGCACACTTTACAGCGATAGAGTTTATGTTGAAACTGTAACGTGTGCGTGTGACAAAGATAAAAGATAAAAACCCTCTAAAGTTTGTATTTCATTACCTGTTTTATCATTCTGGAAAATCGTGACATCTGTCAGTGAACTCGTAAAATCTAATTGGACTGGATTGCAGCCTTGAGGAAGCTTCAGTGGGATTGGGGTTATCTGTTGGTGTCACTGACCCTTATTGGGTGGCTTGAGGCCAGATGTCATGTGGCCTTTATTATGTGAGGTTCCCTTCATAGCCCATTTCAATGACAAAGCCCACAATGTTTTGCAGCTTCACCATCTAAGGCTTTCCTCTAGCTGTGAGATTTCAACTGATAGATCCTGGTTGTTTAATCTGAAAAAGTCTGAGGGCGCAAAACACAGTTGGTGTTCAAGTTTCTTCTGTTGTTTTTCTTGGACATGCATGCTGGACTGAGGCACTTCTCAGGATGTTTCTGTTGAGAATGCGTGAGTGGGAAACCCTTCACTCACTATTGTATCAGAGAGAAAAATGCTTCTTCTGTCAACTCCTATTTATTTAATCTTCCTGAGACAGATTCAGGCAGAATCCCCTACAAGAACTAACGTGTTTTATGTGTGTCCACGTTACTTTTAAAGTGGCTACTGCCAAAACAATGTTCTACATGAAAATGAAACCACAATCCTTCTTGTTGTACTAAAATCCAGACAGAATAAACAATCCAGTTATATTTCCAACACCTAACAAGTACCTGAACATCATCTCTGGTTTAATGGACTGTCTTGTCCTTGGATTTCTGCAGAGAACCAGCTCTTAGGTTCTTGTCCAGGGGATCCGTTACATGTTCAAGGTCAGACAGAGGCACTTTAGCCCGTGGCTGTTGAGTAACTGAATGCTGCAGGGCCAGCAGTGCAGACGGACAGTGATGTGAGCGGTGCTGAGCGAGGGTTGAAGTGAGCTGAACAGGCTGCTTCGTACTCCATGGGTGTTCTATTGCGCTGATACGGCAGGGGACAAGTCAAGTGCAGATCCAGCTCTGACACCGGGCCAAACATACCTGGAGAGGACGAATGAGAAATGAGAGAGTGTGCAAATGTGACTTTTCAGTCTTGTATATTCTGTGTATGCATCAACTTTTGACTCTAGAATTTGTTGTTGTGTGTGTAACATGTATGAGGATCTATTAATATAATATTCATAGGTATGTTGTATATTGTATAATCACCTGAAAATATGAATTGTAGTGTTTTTATTGCCCTAAAATGTCCAGATACACTACGAACAATATCATAGCAACATCCTTTTGTCAGTTTTGTTTCTCCATCTTTGGAGGACAGTTTACTTACTTCTACTTACAGCTTCACATTATATTCCAAACCTCATCCTTTTTGAGGATATCCCTATAAAAAGGATGTTGTGGATCATATAAGATGTGCCGCCTCTCAATCATCATTTCTGAGAGAGCGGGTCATGCCATGTTGAACTGCCATGTTTCTACAGTAGCCCAGAACAAACAAACCTTTTCGTTT